ACTACTTATTAAAAAAAAATTAAGACTGAATTCCTATTGTGGGAAAGTCACTGACTCAGCACTGCAGGAAATACAAAGATGCTTAAGTCAGCCACCATCTTCAACAGGGAGTTTATTATCATACAGGGTAAGTTTTATTGGGGTGAGATGTAAGGACTGCAGGAACCTATGAGAAGTACAATTTTTGAGGTTCAAAGGATAAGGAAATCACATCCAGTTGGGGGTAAGTGACAGGCTCCACCGCAGACATGGACAAACAATAGTCTTCTCAGAAGAGTGGCGAGGACGGAAGTAAAGGAGGCTCACGCTGGAGGCCAACCACGCAAGGCAGGGTGGTGAGAGAGAAGTGAAAGATGGCTCTAAGGTCTATGCCTCACTCACGAGAAGAATGACAGTGCCAATAACAAGGAATGACTAGCAACATTAGTTGATTGTTTACAAGATGTCAGGAACGTAATCAGCCTATTTAAACCTCACTTAAAATGACACACACACGGACATACACACTAGGAACAAATGGATATGGTGTGATGAGATTTAAAAATGTTGTTTTAAGATTTGATGAGATGTATAAGAGAAGATAGGTGCAAACCAGGATTTGAAGTCTGGGAGAAAGGCTGAAAATATCTCTAGATTTGGGAGTCATCTGTACAGAAATAACGGTTGACAGCATCTTAAATAAACAAGCTCCTGAAGCTTCATGTCCTTCCAACGTCAATTTATGTCAAAAGAAATGTAAACTGACATGACTGGGTATCTGTCCCCTTGTTGTTAGTGGTGAGTGACCTGTTGGGAGCATAGTTAATATTGAACTTTGAGTACTTTCCAGACGTGTAAGAAATCATTTGGCTGAATGAAGTTGTTATTTAAAAAAAAATAATGCACAATACAGTCAACTGCCGGCCACATGGAACTTCTTGTTTTAAACAGATTTCCTCCTTTTACTGAGAAAAGTAATCTCTAGGATTAAAACAACAACAAAAGCTCTTACATTCATTGAGTCAATTCAGTGAGATGTTCATCTAAATGTTGCAACTTGTAATGCATAAATAACACATATTTACTGAGACTGATTTGCTATGTGCCTGGCATTGTCCTAAGTAGCTGACATGCATTATCTGAAGGTAATTGTCACAACAATGCAATATCATTTGTCCTCATCCCCACCTTCAGATGGAAAAATATATTTAGTAACTTTCCAAGATCTGTATCAAATTTATAACATTATTTCAAATTTATAGAAAATCTAGCTTGATGCAGGTTTTTGGATAAAAGCAAAAAGGTTATTCTGGAACATCTCATAATTTGGGTTAGGTTTGAGAAGCAGTTAAATTAATAAATTTAGTATTTGTAATGGTAAGACTTCTGGTCTACAAAGTCTAACCTGGAACCTCTTAAAGTAAAATAAGATCTACTTCTCCACAGATTATGTATTCTGGAAGGATATTACTATTTCTCACTGGAATATGATCTAATTTCACTCTGAAGGGACTCTATTAATATGGGGTCAGGCCGTTATTTTTGAAAATAACGTTCCCGAAAATGATGCCACTTCTACTTGAAACTCAGCATGCCCTAAGCCTCTCCAGGCTTCGCCCCCATCTCTCAGAAGACAGATCCACACCAGGTACCCCATTCACCTTGTTTTTTCCACTACAATAGAACTGTACCCTACTTGGTCTTATATAAACCCCAATTTTTATTTATATGCCAGAAGAGTAAATGTGCTTAATTAATGGTTTTTGAGTAAATTTGGAAAGAATTATCTCACAACAGCTTGAACTACACCTTTGTCAAATCAGAATCTTATATAAACATCAAAGCAGCAATGTAAACATAAAAGATAGAAAATGTACTTGAATTTCTTTATGGAAAATAAATAATTCCATTAATTAGTAAAATACAGGTCTAAAATGTAATAGATTTGACAAATTACAGTTGAATGGACAGTATCAAAGCTTGGAGTATTCTAAATTTTTCTGTCAGTAATGTTAGCCGCAATACAATGGCTGCCTCTGCTAGTGCCTGGCATTACCAACATACGCTTTTCTACTTCAAAACCACTCATTTACTTTCTGAGAATAGAAGGCTGGTGAGAAATGATGTGGCAAGAGGGCAGTGTGGTCCTGCTAACATAAGCACGTTACATGAATTCTTCTCCAGTGGGAATAAAAGCTCCACAAAGGCAGGAACGGTTTTCCTAACTGCTGTCACCCTAATATCTAGAACAACACCTGGGCCACAATGGGTACCAAGTGTTTGCTAAATGGATGAGTAAACTGACATAAGAAGACATACATACTTTTACAAGAAGATACAAATTCAAACCCTGTGTATTCTAGAAAGAAAACTCCCAGATAGATCAGCAACAAATTTCTTAGGGTTAGACATATAGTCTCTGATCACCTAAATCAAAAAATAAAAGTCATATATGGCAAAGGTAAAGCCTGGGAAACATTTAAGATTGCTCTAGCTGATCAGGTGTATGCAGAGACAATTGTCATAAACCCTCCAAGAATAGAAAACTCAACCAGTGGAAATTGGCAATACCAAGTATTTGGTAAAAAGACTTGACTCTGAAGTTACTGGAATGCTATAAACTGTACGACACATTTAAAATCAGACAGCCACAAGGAAAATACATGTTTCTGCCTTCTAAGCACTTTTCAGGAAATAATAAAATCCTCTTATTTAGCATGCTTATCTTAAATTAGAAGCTCACATTTTATAACCTATAATAATCTCACTTGGATGTTCTCTGAATGTTCTTTCCTTTAATGATATAACTGTAATTAAGTATACAATCGAATGTAAACGCTCATCTTAGTCTATGTATGAATGTATTATCTGTTTAAAAATCTTTAATTAAAAAAAACTCCTTCCAAATGTATCTCCATTGTATCTAATTTCATTATTCATGATTAGAAAATACTAATAAAACTGGGAAGTTTTGCAGAAATTAGGATAACTAGATCTTAAGGCTGACCTAACCATCAGAAATATAAGGATTAGTGGGAGGGGACAGCGCAATGGTAGAGCCTGTGCTTAGCACGCACGAGGTCCTGGGTCCATCCCCAGTACCTCCATTAAACAAACAAACAAGCAAGCAAACAAACTTAATTACCTCCCCCATTCTAAACAAACAAACAAAACCAAAAAAATCTCCCCCAAAAAACAAAAAAGAAATATAAGGATGTACCTTATCCCAGCTTAGGTTCACCTTCATGATAAAAGCTACTTTAATTGGATTTTCTAACATTACTATTGCCTTAAAGTGATAACATCACAATGCAGAGTTAAATAGGGTGGCAATTTTTATAGCCAAAGTTCTTAGACCTTGGTTATAATCTTCTGCTTCCTCTTCTTTGATGGGATTTTCATACATCATTGAGTTCAAGCAAATGAGTCAAATGGGGAAACCTGGAGGACACGTTTCCCACATAAATAAGGAACTGTCAGCACTTCTCATGTTGCTCAGGCTGACTCAGGTTTCGTTAGAAAACACCCTGTTCTAAGTATTCCTTCAGGTGGTGTTGACCGCTCACCTTTTACTTCATTAATCCTCATTCCCTCCCCTTCGGGGGCTAAGAAGATTAACCCAAGGCCTAAGCAAAGCTCTTATTGGGGTCCTAAAGAAGCAAAGTCATAAAATAAGAGAAAGTAAAGGACCTTAAAGGAAATGGAGCCCAGAGAAGCTCAGTGACCAGAATTAGGTCATCCAGCCTTCTCTGCCATGCACTCCTTTGACCTTTTTTTGGTTAGGGTTTATCCCCTTTAGTTCTTGTTAAAATAAAACCTACCACTCTGACTGGTATCCTCCTGTCTTCTGGTCTCTATGTACCCTGATTTCTCTCTGTGCGACTGCCCGAAATGGTTTTTATGAACTGCCCCTCCCGTCCCCCGGAACATGTCATGCTGTAGGCAATTCTGCCGCTCTCCTAGAAACCCCTGGTCTCCTAGGGCAAGCTGACATCGCCATCCCCGTTCTCTCTTCGTGGATTTACAGCACATATTTCCAAGTTGAAAACAAATGCTGCCTGGGCCTAAGCAGTCTGTCCTATACTATAAACTTCAAAATAATCAGCATCGTACATTTCCCTTATATCACATACAATTTTGGTTGCCTTGAATTTTGGAAGAAGTCTTTTGGTAAGAATCTGTTGTAGCAGCAACAATAATAGTAATGGTAGCAACAGTAATAATAAAAGCACGCACTTACTTGCACTTACTTAAAAGAACGTGTAAGTATCTTAACCTCTCATGACAATCTGATTATTATCATCCCCATTTTAGAGATGAGGAAACTAAGGCGAGTGAGGCTATGTCATTTACTCAAGTTAACAAAATTGGAAACAGACAGAGCTGGGATTCAAACCCAGTTCTGCTTTCACAGCTTGGATTCTTAAACCTCTAAGCTATACTAGTAAATGAAATCACAGACGAGACCAATCATATCTAGTCTGAACTGGACCTAGTACTTTTGTTAATGAAACAATGGGGGGTGGGGAAAGCATCCGATCTTAAACATCAGTATTCTGCAATTCAGGGTAATGACATCTATCTGGCACTTCAGCAGACTTTGCAGGGACTCCCAGCGATCTTTGAATGTCTGCTTCATCATCCCATTAATGAAGGAAAAGAGGGCCCAGTGCTATTAAGACTCTCAAATCACATGGTTTGTTAAAAACCTGGCTCTCTTCCCATTTCTATGCAGAGTTCTTTCCACTGTAATATATACAATGGTCAGTTGATCACGTGAATTTTTTACTTCCAAAGGCAAAAACTTGAACATCAGAACTCTGCTGTAGAAAATATTTCTAATGATAGTGTGATTAATTAAAATTTTTAATTTGATGGTCATTTATAAAAGCCTAGGCTTTGTTGACAGCCAGATAATTAGTAAAATATCTAGCTACTTAAGCTAATCAAGCTACTTAATTAGAAAATATTATTACCAAATTAGAAAATATTTAAAGACATAGAGAGGGAAGCAATTTTACCTTACTAAGTTTTGCTGCATATGTTCAACCTTCATTAAAATTTGGACCCCAGTCTGAGAGCGAACGTAGGCTTTCAACCTGAAATAAAAAATGTCATACTGAAGGAAGCAAAACTGATTTTTAGTGTATTTTAAAACTCTATCAAATAACACAACATTGTAAATCAACTATACTTTAGTAAAAAAAGAAAACAACTGTGTCTGTGGAAGACTAAGCATATGTAAGCAGCTAACGCTACTGAAAATTTATCTATCCAAGCAAAGAAAAGGTGTTGAATATATTTTCTAACCAAGGATCTGAATTTTTAAAAATTACCTTTCTTCTCTCTGTACAGACTGAATTAATCTTGCTTTTTCATTCATTTAAAAAAAAAAGTATCCAATTTGGTGACAGGTATTTTGTCTTATTGTTAAATATATGACCAACAATAAATACCTAGATTGCTGGTAGTAAGGGGAAAAGCAGCTCTACTATGGTAGTGGTCCCAAAGACACTACTTAATATGGTACATGGGTCTGCTTGAGCCAGGGCACCACCTTTTATGAAAAGTAGAAAATGAGATTTAACTAGAACTGGATCAGACACTTTAGAATTCACTCAGTTTAAAATTCAAAACAAACCAAGCATTCTTATTCTAAGCAGGTATCACCTGGTGAAAAGAACTTCCTGCCCAGAAACACTAATGACTCATATACAAATAGTTTCCTTTTTGGGTGCTGCCTACTAGCCCTGTACCAGAAACTTGATATATACAATTTCTTAAAGTTTCATAACAACTCTACATGGTAAACATCATCGTTCTCATTTTACTGATGAAAAAATTTAAGGCCTGAAAGTTAAGTAAGTTGCTCCTGATCAGACAGCTAATAAGGGGACAGAATTAGCTACTCTAACCCAGATATTCATGACTGAATCTTTCCACTATGCTGTGTTAATCATTTTTGTCCACGGTGTATTTCTGGACAGGAGGCCGAGTGTATCTTGCTAAGTTTTATGAAGACTTGGCTGAAAGGGGATTTCCTGTCTTTAATAGTTACTTGGAAACTCTTAATTTTCAGAGTTTAAAGTTCAACTTTGGAAAAGATAGTTTAGTTTGAGGGTTAAGGGTACAGACTGACTCCAGACTTTCTGGGTTTTAATCCTAGTTTCCCTGTTTATTAGCTATATGAAGTCACTTAACCACTTTAAGGCTCAGTTTCCCCATCTGTAAAATGGATGTAATGAGAGTAATCTACATTAAACGGTTATTATGAAGATTAAAATGAATTAATACATTTATTATTATAAGCTTCAAAGAGTATCTAGAACACAAGTAAACAGTAAGTGTTAAGTACTGTTATTACTACAACCAAAATCCTCACCAACAACATCGTCTTTGACTAAGCCTTGAGTACACACCAAGGAAATGGGACAGAAAGTAAACTGTACTGAAATATAACATCCTAATAAAGACATGGCTTTACATAACAAATATGCACATAATACATTCCTTAACATTTTTAATAATTTCAGAAAGTTGGAAAATTTTTGAAACATACCTTTGACGAATTACAGGATCAGACTTTTCAGGATCAATGTAAGGTCTTAGGATCTCATTAATAGTTTTATCATCTGGTACTCTTCCCGACAAAAAAAACAAAAACAAAACTTAATTATTTATGATTATCTATTAAAGGTGTTAGTTCAAAATTACTAAATCTTGTGGTTTTTCTTTTTTAAAAAACTGAGCACAGACCTTTCATTTTAGTCTTGGCAAAATATAATATCCTTTTAAGCAAAAGTTACTTAGGAAAAACCTCAAAAACACTTCTTGGACACACTTAACAAAATCTTAAAAAATAATATTTTGAGAAGCTCCTTATAAATCAATTATAAAAGTATGAAGCTTCTTTTAACACACCTGTGGTTCAAAGATGAAAAGAAAGATGTCAAGGTGAAATATTTTGAAAGCTGCATAAATACAAAATTTGAAAAAAGGTTTCAGATGATGCTAATTTCAGGGCATGTTCAAGTTTATTCATTCTTTTTTGAAAATTGATGAAAAAATGAAAATAGATACTACTTTCCCTAGAAGTAAAGCATTTTAAGGTTTTCCAAATTTCCTATATGTATGAACACTGTGCTGTGGAAGCAAAATTAAGACATTGTTTTGAACTGGTAATTTTCCTTAGTCATTCACACATATTCCCAGACACTACTGTGCTGCATATTCCTACATGTAAAGTATATGTCTTTTCCCTGTCTTTAGTCTGGCATGCAATTTTAAATAAGAAAGTTTGTCATTAAAATCCATATGACAGTTACAAAGAGAGGACATTTATGTATAATATAAATATATACTAAAGATATTATTTAAAAGGCAACTTTAAAATTTTCCTAAATCAAGGAATCAAATACAACCATTAAATTTTTTAAATGATGTTTGAAAATGTTCATAATATGAAAAAAAGTAGGCTAAAAAACTTACATAAACTAATTTCAATTATGAAATTACTCATAGATACATGTCTAAAACAATATATTTTCTGAGGACACACTATGACGTTAATAGTAGTAATTTTATCGTAGTAGAATTTTGGGTTATTTTTTATTTCCTGTGTAACCACCTAGCTTAAGATTCTTCCTCTTGATTCTGCCTGCATCTCTCTCCTCAATGCCTGTCCCTCTGCTGATGCAAATATCATCATGATTTCAGTGCTAATCATTTCACTATAGGTATTTCTAAAAAGTATACTGTTTCATTTTGGTTTTTTTTCATATTGCAAACAGAATCATACTCTGTATTCTCCTTTAACTTGCTTTTTTCATGCAACATTGTTTTTGAGATTCATCCATGTTGATATGCGTTGCTGAAGTTCATTCATTTTCAGTGATGTGTAGCATTTTACTGTACAAAAATACCACAACTTAGTTATCCATTCTACTACTGACATCACATTTAACAGCTTATTTCAAATACAGAGACGTAATAAAAACAAGTAAGTTCCTAGTAGACAGCGGTGATACTGTACCTTTTTTCTATGTACACAGCTTGACTCTGAGGAAACTGGAGCTTTACATGCCAACAAAACTGTCGTTTTCTATGAGAAAATAATCATGTGAGGATCAAGGCAGAAAACAAAAGTCTGCACACAAAACTAACTTCTTGAATTTTTGTTTTTTGATAATTCTAAAAATATGCTTAGAATGTAATGTACTTTTTTCTAATAAAAGCTATTTTCTCTTTTCTAGGATTTTAGAGGCTGTTTTTTAAACAATATACTTGTAGGAGGTTTTAAGAGGGAAAAAATCAAGCAAAGCAGTAAGAAATTCCAAGGGCTTCACATTCTTGAATTAGAAGGCAATTGCTCATAGTTCAGGGGCTTTTGAGATCAGTGTGCTACTACTTGAAGTTTACAAATAAATTTCCTCATGACTAAAAATAATGAGCTGATGTCTCTGCCTGACTAGTCTGGAAATTAGGTGAATGAAGTATTGTCCGGTTGAGACCAGCTGGCTGCAGATACACTTCTGAGCCATGAGTACGTGCATTCAGTAGCAAAACAGGAGACAACAAGTTCGTTGCTAAGCAGAATGCACTCTCAGTCTCTTTGCTTTCAGTCTAAACTTTGGTTTGATACAGGATCAACAGTAATAATCCAATAAATGTGTGATTTTAGAAAAATGGCCATATGCTCTGTTTAACACATCTAAATTTGGTGACACTAGATACCATTCTTTCTTTTAAGAAATTCAATGCTCAAAATATTGAATTCATTACAGAAATTTAAATGTCTTCACTACATGATCGTTTTACACGTTTTCCTTACTTAGAATTTCTAACAATCCGTTGGCAAGTTAACTGCCAACTGCATGTCCAAGCAATGGCTAGTATCCTCTATAAATCTATCCCTTAGCAGCATGGTCCCAAAACCTAAAATAACTTTTTTTTAATACAATCTAGTAGATTATCTCCCACCAAACATTTATATGAGTCAGTCAAATTTCTGTCACAAGACAATGAGCACAAAAGCAAGTAAAAATCCTTATATTAGGGTAAGTTACTACAGATACGCTTATGGATGTTTTCTTTAATAACAAGACACTTTTGGGCGCTAACTAGGCAAAAACATACTTGATTATGCCTATGTTGATAGTGCCACTTATCATACAAGAAACAATCATGTTAAGTTTAATCCTTTTTTTTGATAGAACAAACTTGTAAAGAACCCTTACTAATTTAAAGGTCAGATGTCTAAGGTCCCAGAGGAAAAAACTTACAAAGAAATCGAATGTAAACACAATAGTAACTGGTTTTAAACAAATAATTCTTCCAAAATGAAATACCTTGTAATATTTTGTTATCTGTGCTAACAGGCACAGCATAATATCACCATTAAGAGGCTCAGCGATATCACATTTCTCTCTCGCTATGAGATAAGCTGATTTTTCAATTTTAATGCACAATATGGTTTCTTTCTAAACGTATTTGTTTAAATATATTTGTTTAGAAAATATTCTAAATAATTTGTTAAGTTAAAGGGGGAAGAAAAAAAGATTACCAACTTGTCACCCTGTGGAATTGTAAATCATACTCAATCACCCCAATCATTGCCTGAGTAATTTCAAGAACCATTCACTTTTCTTAACATTCAGCAGACCCTAAATACCTTCAGAAAGTACTTAACATTCCAAAAACAAAGAGATAAAAGCCCTTGGAAATCATTTTTTTTGCTGTAGTTAACCAGTTACGGTTATGAGGAAGTCATTCATTACTGTTTCATTATACATGTATTGCTAAATTATGACTATTATAAAAATCTTTCTATATTTGGCCTCAGTTCAAACATGAACAAATGTGAAAAATACATTTACTTTCAAAAAATGTGATTTTTGCAGTATTTCAAAAACAGAATAAAAACATTCAACACACCTATACTCTGCCCTAACCAGCTTTATACTGCCTTATTTATATGCTTGAGCTATCTATTTTCTTCTAAGAAATATAAGGTTATTGATATGGTCGATGGGCCTTTTTACTGTTCCTTGATCCAGTTCCCTTCCCATTATCAGAGGTAACCACTATCCTGAGGTTGGGTGTGTATTCCTTCCATTCATGATTTTATATTTTTAATATATACATACATATCTATAAACAATAGTGTTTTCTGCGATATTAACATTGATTTCAGTGTTATCATACTCTAAATATCTTATGCCTTGCTTTTGCATTTACATTATTCTTTAGAGATTTATGATACAGATTAATTTTAACTGTTGTATAATATTCTATTGTATGAAGAATGCTAAAATCTACTTATTTACTCTAATGATAGACATTTATGACATGATTGCTTCCAATTTTTTACCATTTGTTCTTGTTCTTCCATATTAAATCACAGTAAAGAAAAAAATAAAAGAATATTTGATAGCCCCAGGGATGGGGCTATCATTTACCTCTACTGGTACACAGAACTAGAAGTTAACTTCATTGAAAAACTGCCTGTATTTTTTATTCTATGGTAGCTTATAAAAAACATTTGAGAACAGCAATTCAGAGTATAAGAGTTAAGTGAAAGTGGACAAATAAGTTGAAGGATGTTGTATAAAGAATTCCTGAAATGGGTGAGTTTAAGTCGTTCTTCAGTGTTCTTAAAACTGATGCAGTCCTGACACAGGCAATCAAATCTATTCCTAAGTCTGGAAGAATTAAGTTTGTTTCTCATTTCTCGTAAGTACGTATAGTGATACATGTTCCACTTAAAAAATACACATGCATCAAAATCCCAAAAACACTGCTTATGAGGGGGACTCTGAGTCCCCCATTTTCTGTCTGTAAGCTTTCTGAAAGAACAGGCCCTGTAAAGGGAAAAACTGAAGTTAATAATGCTCCAGTGAGCATCTTTAGGCATATACACAATTGTTTCTGTATTTTCAATTATTTTCCAAACATAGGTTCCAAGAAGCAGAATCATTAGGGAAGCTGGGTTTCTCAGGCTCAGCAGCACTGACATTTTGGACCCAGTAATTCCGTTACGGTTCCAGGGGTGGATATACACCGTGCTTCGCAGGATATCTGGCAGCACCCCAGGCCTCTGCCCATGAGGTGCCACTAACAACACCCACTCCCTCAGTTGTGACAACCAAAAATGCTCCCAAATATTGCAAATGTCCTCTGGGAAGCACAATCACTACTTTTAAGAATCACTGGGATAGAGGTTTAAATATTTATTATTGCTCCTAATGAATTAGGACAACTGTTCCTTAAATTCAACAACATGCCTTCAACTATAATAATGTCGCTGTGTCCTTTCCATATTTATCAACATTCTCAAGAATGGAAACACTGCGCCCAGAATATTCTAGGTAACTGAGGCACTTTCAGGCACTACGTTTAGAGTTTGATAATAGGCTGGTGAAGTAATGATGACAATTATTAAGCCTAATGTTCCCTTCAGGACAACCTGGCAAAGTAACAGAAAAAAATGACCTCTTCTCTGAGAGTCATGAAACTCAAGTAACTTTTCATGCATAGCAAAGCTCTTTCTCCTCCCCACCCCTCCACTCACACACTATGCATTCTCAATGGGGGCAGCATCACCTCAAAAAGGCTGAAAACTGGTTCTTGGGAGGGCACAAAAACCCTCAGGTATTATAGTGGTTTGTGGCCCTTTGGAGGGCCACTGCCCATAAATAGATATACAGTATATGGTGGTACTAAAATACCATAGGGGGGCAATTAGAGGGAAGATGTTTAAAAAGGCTCCTTGGGAGGTGATAATGAAAAAAAAGGTTGAGAATCACTTACATGTACAAGTATTAAATGAGGAAAATAGTATTTTGTACTTGATTTTGGTGAGTTAATATAGGCCACTTATTTAACAACTCCTGCTTACTAGAAGCTGCTAAAGATCATTCTCTCTCACAATTTTAAGAAAAGTAATATGTGGATGAAGACACAAATTGGGGGGGAGCTCTATCCTAATATACTCAATTACACTTCTGACTTCTTGATTCTGTATTTACAAGTATGAAGAACATGCTCCAAACTTTTAACTATGGTTATACCTTGACATTATGAAAGGACTTAATTCCTACTTTATGTGTCTGTCTTAAATAAACCGTTGACATAGTGACTGGTTATTTTTAAATTATTTTCAAACTTTATTTTGTATTTTTGGGGGGGAGAGGTAATTAGGTTTACTTATTTATTTAGTTTTAGAGGAGGTACTGGGGACTGAATCCAGGACCTTGTGCATGCTAAGCATGTGCTCTATCACTTGAGCTGCACCCTCCCTCTGGTTATTTATTTATTTATTTGGTGATTACAATTCTTCTTTTTCTTTTTATTGAGTTATAGTCAGTTTACAATGTTGTGTCAACTTCCAATGTAGAGCACAATTTTTCAGTTACACATGTACATATATTCATCGTCACATTCTTTTTCACCGTGAGCTACCACAAGATCTTGTATATCTTTCCCTGTGCTATACAGTGTAATCTTATTTATCTATTCTATATATACCTGTCAGTATCTACAGATTTCAAACTCCCAGTCTGTCCCTTCCCACTCCTCTCCCCTCTGGCAACCACAAGTTTGTATTCTATGTCTATGAGTCTGTTTCTGTTTTGTATTTATGATCATTGGTCTCTTCCTTTTCTTTCTTTCTTTTTTTTCTTAAAGATTCTATATATGAGCGATCTCGTATGGTATTTTTCTCTCTTTTTCTGGCTTACTGCACTTAGAAGGACATTCTCCAGGGACATGGAAGTTGCTGCAAATGGCATTATGGTGTCATTTTTATGGCTGAATAGTATTCCATTGTATAAATACAGCACATCTTCATTATCCAGTCACCTGTCGATGGACATTTAGGCTGTTTCCATGTCTTGGCTATTGTAAATAGTGCCGCTATGAACATTGGGGTGCAGGTATCATCCTGAAGTAGGGTTCCTTCTGGATATATGCCCCCCTCGTCATTTTTTAAATTCAGCAAAATTAAAGATGTTTTCATGGGGAAACGCAGCATGGTAGTCACAGAAAGGACAGGAATAATTTTAACATTCTTTTTAAACTTAAATTTTATTATTGTGTTATTTT